CTCATCTTATCTTTCTCATTTTCTCATCTTTCTCATCTTTCTTATTATCCTCTCCTAGTGGTAGCTTATGATTTATCAATTGTTGTTTGTATCATATGATTTATAATTGTAACTATGATTTAAGTTATGATCTATGACTTATCACTTTGTTGTTTATATGTATACTGAAAGCTTATGCACTGGAGACAAATTACTTGGGTGTCCAAGTCCAATCACACTTGGCCAAAAAAGATTCTATTCTATTCTATTCTATTCTATTCTATTCTATTCTATTCTATTCTATTTTATTCTATTGTATTCTACTCTACTCTACTCTACTCTACTCTACTCTATTCTACTCTATTCATATTCTATTCTACTCTACTATATTCTTATTCTTTTTCTATTCTATTCTACTCTACTCTACTCTACTCTACTCTACTCTACTCTATTCATATTCTATTCTTATTCTTATTCTATTCTACTCTATTCTGCTCTACTCTACTCTATTCTTAATTCTAATTCTAATTCTAATGGCACTCCTTCCATGCAAGTACAGATAATCCTCAACTTACAATCACAATTGAGGCCAAAATGTCCATTGATAAGCAAGAGAGTTGTTAAGAGACTTTCCCCCCTTTTTGTCCTTTCTTGCCACAACTTTTAAGTGAATCACTGCAGTTGTTAAATTAGTAACATGGTTGTATAGTCAATCTGGCTTCCCCATTAAGTTTCTTTGTCAGGAGATTGCAAAAGGTGAGCACATGACTTTGGGACAGTGTAACTGTCAGAAATACATGTTGGTTGCCAAGTGTTCAAATTTTGATCATGTGACCATGGGGATGCTACAACCGTGTGAAAAACGGTCATATGTCACATTGTTTAGTTCCGCTGTAACTTCAAACAGTCACTAAACAAATGGTTGTAAGTTGATGTACAGGTAGTACATCAGGGGTGAAATGTTCCCGGTTCGGACCGGATCACCTGATCCGGTAGCGATGGCGGCGTGTGGTTCAGAGAACCGGTAGCAAAAATCCCTGCCCCCCCCATGCCCAGCTGAGCCACACAATCATCAGAGGCTTTTTTTTTTTACTTTTGAAAGCATTTTTTCTACAACCTCTTCAGCTGAAAATATGCTTTTAAAAGTTAAAAAAAAAAACCTCTGATGATCGCGCGGCTCAGCTGGGATCATCAAAGGCTTTTAAAAGAAAAAAATGCCTCTGACAATCCAAGCTGAGTTGCCTGATCGGCAGAGGCTTTTTTTCTTTTAAAAGCCTCTGACGATTCCAGCTGAGTTGCCTGATCGTCACAGGCATTTAAAAGAAAAAAAGCCTCTGCGGATCAGGCAGCTCAGCTGGGATCACCAGAGTCTTTTGAAAGCATTTTTTACAACCTCTTCACCAAAGAGATTGTAGAAAAAATGGTTTTAAAAGTAAAAAAAAAAAATTGGCCATGCCCACCCAGTCACATTACACCCCCCCCCCCAAACCATGCCATAGAACCGGTAGTGACAAATTTTAGATTTCACCACTGCTGTACATCCCTGTAACAGATTAGTTACTATCTCACTTCCTCTCCTGTTTTTCAGTCTTCCATTTCACTAATCAAGACATTTCAAACATCTTTTTATCTCACCTCAGCTGACCCTTGATGGATTATCCTCAACGTTTTTCCTGGATCATTCACACGAAGGTCTAATGTACACATCAAAGGAAAAAATATTTTATTATAGTCATTGACAAAGTAGAATAAAATAGCAGAATGAGATTAATAAAAATATGAATCAGATTAATGAAACATAATAAAACCAAAAGGTAAATTAAAAAATGTAATCAAATTGAACTATTTCTGGAAAGGTCCTGACAGATCTGGCCATCTTTTTTTTTTTTAAATAAGGATGATGATGTCGTAAGAGAGCACATCCCTTTGATCAGCTAGGAGTAACTAAGATAAAAGGACTTGAGGCACCCGAAAGTTGAGGTAATAAAGGTTTAATAAGCTTGTGTCACAGTTCATAAGATTGACAGTATAGAAGTGTCTAGTGGGTTTTTTTTTTCTTTAGTTCCTGCTTTGCAATGACAAAGGTCTTCATTGAATGACATTTTTTTGGAATCTCCCTTTGAAAACCACAGTTGCCAAAGCTTTGCAGCATGCAAGGGTTAAAGCTCTTCAACAGCATACATACTAAAATTGGCACCTGGATATAAAAAGACTGAAATTCAGAGGCTTTAAACTCTCGTTAGGTGTTAGATTGAGTAGTTCTTCCAACTCTCAACATTTTGAGTTTTAACTCCTGCTCCAGGGAGCATTTCTACTTTCCTACTAAGAAGCCTGATCTTTGTCTGTGAGGCCATTACTCATTTCTTCATGTTTATTCTTCTCTTTCTGGGAACATCACGGGAATGAAGTCAACAAAGCCCTGTTATCACGATAGATGAGGATCATCCTAATCAAGACAGGACAGGCATTGTGGGGAACTTTATTAAAGTTATATATTGATAATATATCGATGAAGAAGAATATTTGTAGTTCAGGGCTGAAATGAAGGGGTTTTGGTGCTCTTTAGTTTGGATGGTTTCTTGCAGACATTTTACTATCTAAATCTGATACCATCAGTGCTAATTAATGGTATTGTTCTGACCTAGGCTTCCTTAGAAAGTATACAGCACAATCTTAGTTCCAGCAAACCTCTTTTATTCATACGGTTGTGAATTACTGTCATTCCCAGTCCAAAAGGCTTCTCAAACAGTGTTTCAGGGGAGTGTTTACAAATATCCACCTACCTCATGTGGAATACTGCCAAAGAGCTAATTTCCAGATGCAGGGCAAGGCCAAACTTGGCACAGAGTCACAAACAGAATTTTCAAATCTTGAATCGGCCAGATGAACTAATTGTTTCCTGCAAAAGCTCACATCTCATTTGCTCCTCTTTTATGTCTTATGGGAGGGGCCAATCATCTTCAAGCCTTACTCCCAAGTCGACCCTGTTTTCTTAATCGTTCCTGTCTTCTGGCAGCTCTGCGCATGTGTGCACTGGGAACAGGCTCACGCTGTTCTTCTGCCTCGCTGATGTCAGACTCCGGAGACTCTAGAGGCAGCAAAGAACTACCAGATGGCCTTGGCCCCCTCTCTGCCTCTGACTCAGAGCCATCGTCCGAGCCTTCCCCAGACTCCAGGACTGGCCCACATTCCTCCCCAACCTCTTCACGGTCTGACTCCACTACCAGCTCTGCTGGCCGCTGGCAGGCCACAACAAGTATACCAACTGACCTATTTCTTCAGTTTTCATAGTAAGGGGTCCTTAGTGCTCTCTGAGTTTGGTTGCTTTCTTGCAGGCATTTCATTGCCCAAACTCTGTAACATCCTCAATGCCCTGATGATGTTACCTAGTTTGGGTAATGAAACAAGAAATAACCAAGCTCAGAGAGCTCCAAGAACCTCTCATTTCAACCTTGAGCTACAAATAGCAAGGACCCCCCTCCCCTTAATAATATATATCTCTATATGTTACACCTTCTACTCATCCAGCCTCCAGAAGAGGTCTCCCAAATGATTTTGCTGCAGCTTTTCAATTTCAGATGCTGCCATCTGATTGCTAGGGTTCCCAGTTAGAACTGCAGAGTGCTTGATGGTTGCCATAGTTTCCAGGCCTTTGAGATGCAAACGTGAATGGCACATCACCAAAATGTGATGTCAAGGGCTGGGAAAAACAAGACCCCCAGGTATCTCGACAGGAATGATTCTCCTCCTTTTTTACATGTTAACCCACAGCTGTAAGCTGAGAATTTCCAAATCCAAATTCAGAAAATGACTGGTATGTCTCGTAATTACCAATCAAGCAGACAGTGACTATCATAGCTGAGGGCAAGCTTGCCTCAGAAGTGTCTTCCCATTGAGCTCTGGTGGGAAGGAGCCAATCAGTGGAAAGTTTAACTTGTGGGAGTCCTCACATTTGACGAAAGACACAGCTTAGCTGAACCACTTTCACCCTTATAAGGTACAATTATTGAACTGAGATTGCAGCTTTAGGTCGGAAAGGGACTCCGACTGCCCAAGTTATTTTCTGGAGGATGCAATAATTATTAGTCTCCTGAGATCAGCTATCCAATTTCTGGAACGTCTCTGTTGATAAGCGAGCCTTCTAGTTTTCTATATATTCATAGTGTGACAGAATTGGTTTCAACTGCCTTCCCTACCACTTGACTTACTTCTCTTGCCATGTGATAGTGCAGAATTAAACCCAATTACATATCTTTATATCACTTCAGGTGTCTCACTTTTTTTAAAATTGAGAAGAGAGTCATCATAGTATCTTTGCATTGCATTTGAAGGAAACCAGGGTGGAAATGTAAAAAAGCAAGATATAATTCCCACCCCTTTAATCACTTGGAATCAGTGGTGGGTTGCTACCGGTTCACCCTGGATTGGGCAAACCGGTAGCGGCAGTGGCGGGAAGCTCCGCCCACCCACCCGGATGCTTCTGCGCATGTGCAGAAACATTGTACACATGAACGAGCACACACCCATGAGCAAACTGGTAGCGATGGGATTTGAAACCTGCCCCTGCTTGGAATGAAGCTATTGAGGGCTCTATGGTGCTTTCTGAGCTTGATTGTCTTCTTGTAGATGTTTCATTACCCAACTAGGTAACATCATCAGTGATAGAAGGGAGTTGGGTTTGCAAACATAATGAAGTGTCTGCAAAAATTCAAGCTCAAAAAGCACCAAGGATCCACAGGTCAATCCCGAGCTACAAATATTCAAGAACTCTGAAGTCCACCCATGCTTTTGTCTCCTGTCAAAATAAAGATGCAAATTTCCCATGGGGCTGTCATAAAGGTGAGAAAGTTGAATTTTAATTGGCAATCAATCAATCAATCTGTTAGAATATTCATGACTGGGAAGACATAGTAACAAGGTCAGCCAATGAATAGGCATAGCAACTAAATCAGCCAATTGGGAGCTGAGACAGATTGGGGCCAGGGTGTGTCTTAGTCTGCAGCTTCTGATTCTGTGCAGAGAAACGAAACTGAAATCAGTGTGTACATGTTGCCTGCTCTGCTGAAAATGAAACTGTTCTCTCCTGCCTTATGTTGAAACTGCTACTACATTGAAGAAGAACTTTGATATTGGTATTGTAAATACTTCATCTATTATTATGTATATAAAGAAGTTAATGAATCCTGTTGAATCAGTTTATCTGTGTGTGCTTCTGGATTTGATTTTTGCAAGAAACTCTGACATAATCTTTGCCTAATTTAACAAACAATATCTCCTTTCAGTTCAGTGAGACTTATTCTCTGTTCAGTAGGTTTAGGATTGTAACCAAAATCAAGGATAGGTTTAAGAACCAATAAAAGTGCCGATGTCTGAAAGTGGGGCTAAACCAAAAAGTGGATTTCTGCCATTTTTCTGTCTTTCACATACTTTTTTTTTTTTAAAAAAATTGATTTATATGCCGTCCTTCTCCGGAGACTCAGGGCAGCTTACAATGCGTTAAGCAATAGCCTTCATACTTTTGTATATTTATACAAAGTCAGCTTATTGCCCCCACAAACTGGGTCCTCATTTTACCTACCTTAGAAAGGATGGAAGGCTGAGTCAACCTTGGGCCTGGTGAGATTTGAACTTACAGTAATTGCAGACAGCTGGTGTTAATCACAATGCTTTAGTCTGCTGAGCCACTAGGCCCCTGGGAGATGATCTGTAATATACACTTACCATGTTCAGACAACCAAATTTTTACTAAGTTAACCTACATTAGTTTCTGCATTTGAAAAATATATTGAATCAAACTATCAAACAGGCTGAGTTCCCACACAACATATTAAATCATAAAATGCCCCAATCAAGATTAAAACCCGTCAAGTTCAACATGTGAATTCAAACTTTAAGTTGTTATCTGACTTGGATAAGCATTATTTGTTATAATGTAATTTCCCCATGTCTAGAGATGGAGCAAATACAAAAGGACTCAAGTATAAATTGCATATAAATGTGCCCTAGATATTTCCAGCAACTCCAAAAACTCCTTTTTTGGCCAACATATTGTCATTCTTTGACATTTAGAACAAAGATATCCTCATTCAGTGAACACAAGGATACATTCACAACAGGGCTGATGTAGATGCCAAAGTGGCACAAAATTTTCCTATACTGGAAGGCAGGCAAACAACTGCTGAAGTTTCTTCTTCTTCTTCTTCTTCTTCTTCTTCTTCTTCTTCTTCTTCTT